ATAATCTTCTACTATACTATTCTACTATGTACATGAATATTGTAATACAAAATAATAAAAATGTAAATTCCAAATATTAAATAAGATATAGTGTTAAAAATAGAATCATGATAATAAATATAGTAATATATGATATAGAAATAGGAATATTGATAAAATAAATGAAAAATATAGAAATATGTAATTTTGCATAACCAGGGAAGATTAAAAAATTAAGGAATTTTATGTCACTATGATAATATATGATCCTTCTTCAGAAAATTTTTGCTCCTGCAAAAATCAATTAATAATCTTTAATAATTCTTTCTTGTTCAAGTGATGCAACTTGGTCAATGTAAACTTAAATCTATTATTGAAAGCTTCTTTTTCAGAGAGATAGATGAAAAAGTCTTATGAGTGATATTATATGATTTATTATATATATATTTTTCAAGAGTATCCTCAATATTCTTTTTAATCTCTAACATTTCTCTTGAATATTTCTGTGATTGAATTGAAAGTATATATCCAAGTTTATAATATTGTAGCATCATCTGACTATTATTATTCAAAGAATTATTGTAAATCAATAATATGGCTTCTTTAAGTTAAGTAAACCTAATAATAATTAAAAGTAATATAATATATAATTAAAAATTATTAAATTATAATATATTTATAAGTAGCTAGTAAAATTTAATAAAATTAATAAATATTATATATTAATAATATCAGTTTTATTTATTAAAATTTAATTTATTATTATTAAATATTATTTTAAGATAAATATATAAATTTATATAAATAAGTATTATATTTCTTTTAATTTTTTATTCAAAATCAAATAGCAAGTAATATTATACAAAAATTATAAATAAATAACTATTTTATTTATTTTTTTTCTTAAATAATATTATAACTTTTTAATAATAAAAAATAAATACTAAAATATTATATAACTCTTAAAAAAAGCTAAAATAATTATTTTATTTTAAAATAAATATATTACAAGAAAAATAACAAAAACTTGTAAAATTAATTCTTTTACTATTTTTTATATTAATAAAAAAATAATATAAATAGCATATTATAAATAATATAAGTAAGTCTAATTATTTATAATTATTAAATAACTGATTAAAAAGAATAAAAATCTGTTTTATTACAACTTATAACTGTTTTACTATCATTGTTATCCAAAATTATCTTTATAAAATTGAGAATATTAAATTTCAGAGCATATTATTCAGTTATATATTAAAAAAGAATGATTTAATAGTAAGAATAAAATAAAAAAACCATATTTAAAGTCTGGATATCAATAATATCATCTTGAATTTATCAAAAAATATAAAAACTGGATTTACAAAGATTGATTAAAGATAATCTGGTCTGATAACTCTAAATTCCAGATTTTTGAATCTGATAGAAAATAGTACTATTAAAAAAGAACAGGTGAGTTATTAAAAAGTCATCATATTAAATCTATAGTAAAATTTAATAATGAGAAAGTAGTTATTTCATCTTTCATGATATTGATAACTTTTGTAAGATTGATAGAAACATGAATGATATATTATATTGACAAATTCTTGAAGAATATCTTGTGAATACTATAAAAAAACATGGGTTTGCTATTAATAAGATCATTTTCTAACAGGACAATGATCCCAAACATACAGTCAATTTGATGAAAGAGTGATTTGATGTTAATAATATTACTGTGTTAGATTGACCAGCACAATTGCCCAATCTAAATCCAATTAAACATTTATGGAATGAAATAAATTGTTGTCTTTGGTATCTTTCTGGATCAATTTCAGGTATGGAAGACTTATTATTATGGGAAAAAATATAGCTGGTTTGATGTGAATTATTGTATGAATTTAATTTGTTCTATGCTGAAAAGAATTTGTGATGTAATAAAAGCACATGGTGGTTATACTAGATGGTAGTATATCGGATATAGTTAAAAATATGATGTTTTTATTTTATATTGAGGGTTATACAAATTTATATTAATGTAATGCAACACTAAAAATTGAATAAATGTTGTGATTGTGACATAATTTGTTTAATAGTCCGCGTTGAATTTATTATATTTAAGTTATTTGCATATACGTAATTAAATCTATCAACTATAATTTGATGTTCTTAAGTCAGTGCAAAGATATCGCGATTTAACAATTTTCAATTCTGCGTTGCATTACTTTTGATCGCTACTGTATATCACGTGCATTTGTAGACAGGAGAGGTCTTTTAGAATAAAATAATATTTGTCTCTCCTTATCTGTTCCTGATAGAATTTTACGTAACGCAAACATGGTTAATTTTTGCATTTCATATCGATAATAGCATTTAGCATGCATCTCAAGCAAAAGAGTTCAGGAAAGGCATATCGACTTTAACAATGATGGGAATGGCTCATTAGAATGAATTTGTTTAAGTATAACACCAATGAACGATGTGCTTTAACCGTAACATGTGCTACGAAAAATAATGATGTCTAACGCTACGCATTGTTATGCTAAAGCGAGTCTGTAATTAATCTTAATTTGGTAAGCGAACAGCTAGTTCTAGATAACGTTTATAACGTACACAGTACATGTGCACGTATATGCTTCGTATACATGTATAATATCGTACAATTTTTCTAACGTTATTGCTAGCATTAATATACCTATAAGCAAACCAAAAACAAATTAACATTACATTTATTTATAATGTTACACATCCAATTAAGAATAAATATTTCTGTACGCCGATTCACAAGAGAAACTCATTAAGATACAAAAAAAAAGGATAAGGATAGCCTGTTTTCGCATTTTGACAATCAAATTATGGATCATATTCGATATAAAAAATTATTACAAAAATTTAAGCCGTCACAAAAACGAAAGCAAATAAAACAACAACAACAATTATTGATTCGACAACAAGAGCAAGAGCAACAACGACTACAAAAACAGCAACAGCAGCAGCAACAACAGAAACAACTACAACTACAACTACGACAACGACAAGAACTACAACAACGACAACATCCGTTAATTCCAGATATCCTCAAAGAAATATTCAGTGAACTATCACAACGAGATTTGAATAAATGTGTTTTTGTTAATAGACAATGGTCAAAAGTAGCAGTTCCTTTAATATGGCGTCGTCCTTTTAGTGGCCCAGACGAGAAATGTCAAAAGATAATACACACGCTCTTTACATTGATACCGGAAGGCGGTGCAACCTCAAGAATTTTTAATCGAGGTTTACTATTAAGTCTGGGAATAAAGTTACCCGTTAATAATCCAAACCCATGTTTCCCGTATCCTTCATTTATCCAAGATTTGGCGTATGGAGAATTAATTTCTTCCATAAAGAAATCAGGTGTATTGGAAGTAGAAAATAAAAAACAAGATTCACTTGCATTATGGTTTGCGTTGACGGTCGTACTTGAAGTATTCAAGGATTATGGCGTGTCACTTCATTCAATTAATTTTAAGATGCAAAAAAATGATCTGGATTGGAGACTATGTCATTTGATTGTAAATCAACAGTTTTCGTCTTTGATTTCTAACTTGAAATCAGTAACATTAGTCGATTATTTCCCAAAGGAACCTTTGTATTTGCAACTTGCTAAAACATGCAAAAATTTAGTAAGTGCTTAAAAAATTGTTTGGTTTGGCAAATTCAATTCATAATAAAAAAAATAAAAAAAAAAAATACCAATTCAAAAATTTTGCAAAAGGAAAAAATTTACGTATGGACTCTCGGCGAACCCAGAAACAAGGTGCAAAAGGCACGGAAAAATCTCGCATACTTAATCAGCTCTCAACGTCATTTAAAACATCTGGAAATTTCATATGTTCACGGTCACTCAGCTCCATTAATGCAATCTCTCGCGTCGCAAGCAAAGACATTACGACATTTTCGGATGTATAATGTGAATTTCGATAAATGCTGTCCGTGGGATGCGTTGGCTGAATGCAAACAACTGGAAACATTGGAAATTCTTGCATATCACAAAGTGAATGAGAATATGGTGCGTCCGTTAACTAATGCCATAAATCAAATGAATAATTTGAAAATTATTGATTTTATTCCGTACAGTAAAGAAGAAGAGTGTGCGTCGTTGCAAAAATTGCAGAACATCCTGAACGAAGTATTGTGAAAAGATAGATAGATATATAGATAAAGGACAATGCTGGTATAAAGATGAGATGGTTCATTTCGAAAAAATTTGTAGATACTGTATTTAGTTCTTGACATTTCAAATATTATCTTTATTAATTAAATATTGCAAGTTACTACCTTTTCTTAGCATTTCCGCTTCATTCATGTTTGGATTGACGTACGTAGAATAACCTCTCTTGATTCTTTGAGTGTATTTCGCTTTACTCGGAAGTGAATTTTTTTCAAAAAATCCCACCGTCATAACTGTCGTATTTTAAATAAAAAATAATTTATTTTAAATTTCAAATATACCCAACAGGCATCCGTTAACTGGAAAAACATGAAATAGAACATGAAATTTAAGCAAAATTTACTTTTGTTTTAAATCGTTACTGTATTTTTTAAATTATTGATAACGAGATGTAGATATCGATATCGATATCGATATACATGCGTTTCCGAGAATGAGCATTTTTTCTTAACGTTAATCTGAAGGTCACGCAAACCAATCAAATTCCTAGGAAACTAATTTTTAGGTTTAATCCGACATCGATCGATATTTATACACACGTTGATTTTAGTTTAATTTTTCGAATATGATTCACGATTGTAATGAATGTTGCGTTGTTAAAAAAAAAAAGGTTACTGCAAGAGGTTTGAATCACAATACGCATGAATGTAATGTAGTAAATCTCGAAGTTAAAACAATGAAAAACGACGGAAATGTTTAGATGATCACGAACGAATTTATAAAAATGAATTGGATAAAGATAACGACTGTCTGATAAAAGAGTATGGTAACATTAATAGATATAAATCTTGCAAAAAGTGGTTTAGCTTGCAAATGAGCTGAAGAACATGAAGTTGCTGTGTCCAAAACCAAATCACATCAAAATTTATGAATGGGGTAAAAATAAATAATCTAAAATGAAATTTTGTTTTTGTTTTCTAATACAATCAAATTTGGAAAAATATATTCGTTTGCTGTAAAGTTCACTTCAAGTTATATTAAATATTTTGCAAATCCAACTACAAATGAATCCTCGATAGCGATAGCAATTAGATAGCAATACGCACGCAATTAATGGAGATCTACAAATACATGTACAGTCGCCTCAAAAAGTAACGCCCGATTTCAATTATCATAAAACTTAAAATATAATTTCGATTTATTTTATTTTTTCACATTATACATAAAAAAATTATTTCATATTTAATTAATATTTTGTTGGCTCTCCTTTTGCCTCCAATACCGCGTTAGTTCTTCTTGGCATTACCTCCCTAAGAATATTGACATCAAATTTCGACCACTCCTCCTTTAAGGCAGCTTTGAGCTCGTCCACGGTTCTTGG